TGAGGGGCCCCCTGGACTCAATCTCCACCACAAAACTCAACAGGTCTCCGTGTCCCAGCCCCCACCTCCTTGACATCAGTCCTTCCCTATGCTGCCCACCTGGCGCCTCTTCTACCCCCCACTCACCCAGCTCTAGCTCTCTCCCCACACAGCAGCCCGGGTATAAAGCTGACCTGTCACTGCCCTGCGGAAATCCTTCAGTGGCCCAAGGTGGCCGCAGGTGAAAGTCTTCAAAGGCCCCCTGTCCTCCCAGCATCCCCTCTCTCTCTCTCAGCTGCTCTGTGTGCTGCAGCTACTGGAGGCTGTTCCACTCTCCATCCCTACGGCCATGCTGTTCCCTCCGCCAGGAGCACCATTCCCACTGCCTCAAGGGTCGTGTCCTCCAAGAGACCTCTCGCTGAGGGCAGTCTGCCCTGGCTGGCTCTGGGGGCTGAGCCTCCGCAGATGGCCAGGCGGAGCAGGAGGGCCCCTAGGAGCTGGTGGTGACGGGGCAGAAGGGCACAGTGAGTAAAGCTCACACCCACGCCAGCCCCGGGCCGGCTGCCTGGCTCAAATCCCAACTCCTCTTATGCGGCTGAATGAGCCGGGCCTGTTGACTTAACCTCTGCGATATAACAGGCTGTAATAGTTCACACCCCACGGGATCATTGAGGATTTTTACCATACCTGAAGCGTCTGTCCCCCGTAGGCTGGGAGCTCTAAACACAGCAGGGGCCTAATAATTGCGGCCTGCTCTGCCAAGCACTTGGCTTCCCAGGGACAAAAGGCAGAAGCCCAGGGGCAGGGCCAGCACACAGCAACGGCCCCATCCCCAAAGCCTGCCCGCCTCCCTGACCCCCGGCTCCTCACTCTACACCCACCACCGGGCAGGCCTCACAGGCGTCTTCTCCTCTCACACTCCTCTCCCAGGAAGCCCTCCTGGACTGAACCAGCACTGCTCCACATGGATCCCTTTCTGCCAGATGGTCCCAAGGTGCCAGGGGCCCTTCCTGGGATGTGGGTGCTCCCGGGAGACGTTCAGCGGAGTCTGAAAGAATGGTGGGGCTGGGGCTCGGCCCAGGTCCGGAGGCTGCCTGGAACCAAAGTTCCTACCCCGGGGTTATGGTCTAAATGAGCTCAGCCAGCACCCAGAGATCAAGCGCAAAAGGTCACAGGTGTGAGCCAAGCTCGTGTCTGCCCAGGAAATTTCTAGACATGCTTCCTCTGCACGGACTGCTCCTTCCCTTGCTGTTCAGACCACTGACCCTTTCTCAGTTTGCAGATTGGTGTGTCACAACACGTCCCTCGAAGGCCTTCCCTGACTGCCTCCTTAATTACCTCAGGGTCTCCTATTAGTCCCCGCCTCAGCCCCTGCCCACTCCTCTCCCGGCTGTGATTGTCACGAGACCTGGCCCTCAGCGAAAGAGCAATTCAAAATCAAGGAGACAGACATGAACCACAAGTGTTTACTGCAGAAATCTGGCCAAGGCTCCAACTGGGTGGCCCCAGGAGGGTGGGCTGGGCTCTGCCCAGGGCTGGACAGGTGGAATAGGAAAGCGCAGAAGGAGCACGTCTGGGCTCTGGACCTCAGAGCTGCGAGATGATGTTGGGGGCCAGGCTGCAGGTGAGGCCTGTGCCATCCGGCTCCACGTTCAGGGACTTCACTGTGCCATCCTCTATGACCATGGAGAACCTGCCAGAAAGACGGGTGACCAGTTGCAACAGCCTGGGCCTGGAGACTGGGAATGGAGACGGGGGCTGGGGGGGTGGGGAACCCCATGGAGGACCCTCCCACTTTTACCTCTTGAGCCGTCGATTCCCAAAGAGGGACACCAATGAATCATCTAGTAACAAATCTGTCTCCTAGGAGGGGAGGCCAAGAAAAGGATCAGGAAGCCCAGAACAGGCCAAGCCCCCCGGCTGCTCCCCACATTGGCCACGTCCCTCCAAGTCCCTGCTTCCAAGGCCGGGCACAGAGACTGCCCTGGGGGCGGGGGGGGCACTCACCTTCCCAAAGGCCCCAGTGGGGTCAGCCAGAAGCCGAACCTAAGGAGAAAGTAAAGGTCACAAGAAAAATCTCCCGCCTGGCCCCTGATCCCCTGCAGGACCCGCACCTCACCTTGCCTTTCGCGTTGTGAGCTCGTCCCCACTCTTCAGTCACAAAGACATCATTAACACTCAGACATGCCACAACCTGGACCCCTTTGGCCTTCAGAGCCCCAGCCTGCTCCACAAACCCTGGCAGGTGGGTCTGGGGAGGGGAAACAAAGGGTCAGCAAAGGGATAACTGCCTCTGCTCCTTGGGCTACCCTTTATCTCCAGGCCTTCCCCATCTCCCTGCTTCAACACCTTTGATCAGACAATGAGAACTGTGTAAGCCACAGTTCCTTTTTGCCTTGGCCACTAGGAAGCTCGGATCCAAATTTAAGTGGTCAAGACCATGAACTTCCCGTGGGCATAACTATGTCTTATTTACCCGAGTTCCAAGTACCTTCCATAGTGCCTGTCAGCCAGCAAAGTCAATAAGAAGTGTTGGATTTCATTGCAATACCCTTTTCCCCTATATTTCTGGTACTGCTACCTTTTTGCAACCTCCACTTATTTTCTAAATGCTCTGACCAGCTTTTTAACTGTCATATCATCTACATACTCTCGTTGCCAACTGCCTCAGGACTCCGTGGAAGACTTATGAACAATACGAACATGTACACAAGGTCCCAGTTGCTAAGCCCAGAAGGGTGGGGCCTCACCTTGGAACAGCCAGGGGTAAAGGCCCCGGGGACTCCAAACAGCACCCCCTTCTTGCCCTTGAACAGCTCTGCCAGGTTCACCTTGTTCCCAGGCTCCCCTTCAAACACCACCACCGACGGGATGGCATCTCCCACCTAGAGGGAATGGCTCCGAGGTCAGGGGTCGAGGTGTGGGGTGGGCAGGGAGGCCAAGGGAAGGGCAGCACCAGAGCCAGGGGACCAGAGGGGCTGGCAGCTGTGCCTGGTGGAGCACAGTTGACACCCTGCAGGAAAGTTCAACCCTGTCAGAGTTTCCAGAGGTCCCTCCCTGTCGCCCTCCCTTCTCCCGCCACCGCCTGGTTACCCCACATCCCCCAGGTTTCAAGGTGGCCCTATTCTTCTTAAAGGGCCCACTGATGACAAGAGAAAAAGGGAGAGAAGGCCTCCCTGGGTGTCGCAAGGGGTTGAGTAAACAAGCTGAGTTACAGGAAAAGAGTAGGATAAAGGAACAAGGGGCGGAGGGGCAGGCCCTGACAACAAGGAGGGAGCGGACCCTGGCCAGGTCTGAGTGTCTCACCCTCAAGACAAAAAAAAAGGGAGGGCAGCACAAAGTGGGAAAGTCGGGGGGTGGGGGGGCCGGTCCCTACATCCAGGGGGTATGGAATAAAAGAAGGAATCTCTTGAAGGGTGAGGGGTCGGTCTACCTGGGAGTGTGTGAGGGCTTCCTGGGCCCGGAGGAGGTAGACAAAAGGGACAAAAGTCAGGGGTAGGGGGAGCGTCTCTGAGAAACTCTGTGGTAGGAGTAGGATGAAGCAGGAGGAGGCGGGGGTCTCAGAAGACTGTGGGAGGGGAAGGGGTTTGTTCCAAGGAGCTGGGGATGGTTCCAGAAGATAAGAAGGGGTGAAAGACTCAGCAAAAGGGTGGGAATTAGCTATGGGTGGAGTGGACTGGGGGAGATACAAGGGGACTCTAAGAGACAACACCTGTTCCAGAAGATAGGGGGAGAGTGATGCCCAATAACTTGACAAAAGCATAGGACAGGGTCGGGGGAGATGTATGGGAGTTGAAAAGGGACCCTGGGGCAAAGGACATGGTTCCAGAAGGTGGGGGAGGCCACGATACTCAATTGTCTGAAAATGGTGCAGACCCATCACAGGGGTCGCAGAGCCGATGTGGAAGGGAGATGAGAGGAAGGCTCGAGAGCCTCGGGGACTGGCCCAGCAAATGGGACACGAGACTCCCAAAACTGGCATGAACGGGGTGGGGGTGGGGCCGCCCGGGCCGCCACGGGGTCTTGCTGAGGGGATGAGGGGGATACATAGCGTGAGGGGCCACTAGGGAGGCGGGAAGGATTCCGGAGGGCAGGAAAGAGGGTGACTCTCCCCCAGACAAGCGGGACGGAGGGTGGCCTTGGGTGGATGGCGAGGGGCTGGGGGTCAGGCCTGGCCGGCCCCGTGGTCACCTTGATCGGGGCCATGGCTGCAGAGGCGCTTCTGAAACCGCGGGTCCCACCAAGCGTCCACTCTCGGCCTCCTTCCAGGCACCGGCCTGCTCCCACCGCTGCCGCAGCCTGGGCGAATACTGAGTCCGCTCGGCGTCCCAGGATGCATAGACCCACCTGCAGCATGCCCGCCACCGACGCCACAACCGCCCCGCCCCGTCTCGCTGCGCCAAGCCCCGCCCCCGTCGGGGCTGCGGCCTGAGGCGGGGCCCGGCGTCACCAGCGACTCTCCAAAGGCGGGGCCTCGGTCGCCCCGCCCCCGGCGAGGCCCCTCCACTGCGCAGGCGTGCGTGCAGGGGCGGAGCTTCCGGGGCGCTTGGCTTATTTGCATTAGGGGCTGGACCACTGATGCACGGGCAAAGGGGCGGGGCTTCCGGCAGCCGAGCAGATTATTTGCATACAAGGTTCGGGTGCCTGTTGGACCGGCCCGATTTACGGATTGGGGCAGTGTTTCCGTTTTTTAACCGACAGCGAGGGGTGGGAGATGACGGCGTCAGGCGCTGGTGTAGGAGTAAATAAAACATGTTTATTTTGCATTCGACGGAGGCCCCATTGCAGCTGTTTCACATATAATTTGCACTGTACATGATTTGTAACCACTGGAGGTTTTTGGCTCAGTCACAACCACTGGGCCTGCGCCATAGCCACCTACCGCCGAGATGGTTCCGGCAGCAGCGCGTGATCCCACCAGGCCTTTCAAACACCTCGGCTCCGGCGAGCCCCAGAAGTTCGAGCAAGTTCCCGCTTCCGCTTCTCTCAGCTATCCAATAGGGTACAGAGGGGAGCGGCTCCGGAAGTGACGCAGGCGGACTCCCGGCCTCCTTCCGCTTCCGGCCTGGCCAGAGCGCTCGGTGGCGACATGAAGCTGCTGACCCACAACCTGCTGAGCTCGCACGTGCGGGGGGTGGGGCCCCGCGGCTTCCCTCTGCGCCTCCAGGTACGGGCCGGGCGGTCTCTCGCCCCCGTCCCGGGCGGGATAAGAGAACCAGGGTCCGGCCCGCCTCACTAAGCCCCTCCGCCCCGCAGGCCACCGAGGTCCGCATCAACCCCGTGGAGTTCAACCCCGACTTCGTGGCGCGGATGATCCCCAAGGTGGAGTGGGCGGCGCTCCTGGAGGCGGCGGACACCGTGAGGACCCTCCCCCGCCCGTGCACGCCCTGGGGGGTGGTCTCGCCGCAGCCCCTTGCACCAGGCAGGGAAGCCTGGTCTCGGGGCGAGGGTCGGCGATGCCCAGGGACGAGTTAGGTGTCTTGCCCACAGTTGCATCTGGTCGAGGTGCCCAAAGGGCCGATTGAGGGGTATGAGCGTGATGAGGCTTTTCTGAGGAAGATGCACCACGTGCTGCTGGAGGTGAGAACCGGCCCCTCGCTTGCTTGCCTCCCTGGCCACACCCCCACGCACGGAGCCTGCCAGTACTCAGCCCTGTCCCCCTTTCCCCGCAGGTGGATGTGTTGGAGGGCACCCTGCAATGCCCGGAGTCTGGACGTCTGTTCCCCATCAGCCGCGGTATCCCCAACATGCTGCTGAGTGATGAAGAAACAGAGACTTAATCGTGCTGGGCACCAGTTTTTCACTGTGTCCATGTGTATATTGGTTTATGTATATCCTGTTTGCTAGTTCTGTTTTGTGTATCCCCAACCCTTGACCCAGTGACACGCCAGACACGCAGTGTTCTTGAGCTCGATATATTTTTTTTCTCATTAAAGGTTCAAAACCAAAAGCGGTTTCTCTTTGCAGCAAATATACATTAAAATAGAGTCTCTGTACAGCCGAGGGCTCTGGGCCCTGGCTTGCCCCATGTCCCTGCACCTCCCTAGCCAAACCCAAAAATAAATATAGTGTTATTGCTCTGCAGGGCGTAGAGGCAGTGCTCTCCCTGCCCCCTGAGGAGGCTGGGTGGGAGCTGATGGGGGGCCCTGGCCAGCCCAGGGGTCCAGGGGCTGGAGCCTGCTTGGAGTTATTGCTTCAAGGGGGGGCAGTAATGCCCAATGCAAATGATGAGGAGAGGAGCGAAGGGGGCAGGGGCTTTTGCTCTCCAAATCCCCCTCTGCTCTGGAGAGGGGGTCGGGTTAAGCAGCAGCAAAAGCATCACCCACTGGGAGACTGTGGCCTCCACTCCCTTCCCTCCCAGATCAGGCTTCTGCTTCCCACTCATCCCCTGCAGCCCCCTATGGCTTCCGCAAGGCCCCCTACACTCTGGGGGCACGTTATGGCTTGCAAGGGGCAGCACTGTGCCCAGAGCCTGGGCACACACGTTCCCAGCTTCTAACACCCCCTAGGAGGGGGGAGGGGAGGGTGTAGGGCCCACTCCCAGGGGCTGATGGTATTGCCCTGGCCCTGCCAGCAGGCTGTGGCACTGCCCAGACCCCAGCTCTGCCCCCTTGGGGCTGACCCTCTGCTGGGCGGGTCCTGCCAGCACCCCCACCCGTGCCCACCCCGTGCCTCAGTCCATCATGGCCTCGAGCATCTCCAAGAACAGCTTGTGCATGGGCACCTTGCCCTCCAGCTTCACCCCATAGAAATGGGCCAGCACTTTGCCCGCTGTCTGGCGAAGGAGCGGCAGTGTAAGCAGCAGCCTGCCTGCCCGCCGCCGCTCAGCGCCCCCTCCGGGGCCCGCCCGGCCGGCTTCATACTCTAGCAGGGCCTCGTGCAGAGCTTCTCGCAGCTGCTCCACAGCCTCGGCATCTTCAATGTGCACAGAGTCTGCGAAGAGAGAGGAGAGAGAGCTGTTGACCCGGGCCACCTCCAGAAAGGGCAGAGCCCCCATCTGCTTAGACAACACTGCATGGGGCCTAAGGAAGAACCAGACACAGGGCTGGCCCCCATAGTGTAGTGGTTAAGTTCACACACTCTGCTTCGGTGGCCTGGGGTTCGCAGGCTCAGATCCCAGGCACAGACCTACACACCGCTCATAGAGCCATGCTGTGGTGGTATCCCACATATAAAGTGAAGGAAGATGGGCACAGATGTTGGCTCAAGGCCAATCTTCCTCAGCAAAAAAAAAACAAGAAGAAGAACCAGACACCGATTTGTTCACTGGCTGACTGAAGCACCACTCACTGCTCCTGCTCATGAGCCAGGGTCCACCTTTTCTCTCTCAACTACGGCCACCTCTTGTCTTCCCCACCTTCCCTCCCATTAAATTGTTCACCTTTCCACTAAGTATGGCACTAGGGCTCAAAATCCCAGGTGCAGTTCCTGGGCCTGCCCTTGGCTTGCTTTGTGACTTTCAGCAAGTCACTATCCCTCCCTAAGCCTCAGTTTTTCTTGCCTGCAAAATGGGACTGTGCCACCATCACAGAGTTAAAAACCGGAGGGCCCTGTGGAGGGAGCTCACTGCAGACTCACCTGAATTGGCAAGGGCCAGGGCCTTCAGCAGGACGTACTCCTCACGCTCCAGCCGCAGGGCCTGCAGTCGCCGCACCAGTTGCAGCAGGGCGGCCCCCAGCTCCCCCAGGCCAGCTGCTCGCGCCCCCTCTTCATCCAGGACCAGGTCCTCAGCAAAGGCCAGCTCGTCCTGCAGTGGCAGTGAGCGCTGGGCCACGCCCAGCACCAGGACCTCCATCCATACACTCTGCAGGACTGACATCTGGTCGGAGAGCGACAGTGACGAGAAGCCTGGAGGGCAGTGGGGAGGAGACCCAGCTGAGCAAGGGCGCCAGAGCCAGGCACCCAGGGAAGCCCCACATCACCTGGGCCAGCCCTTACCTGGGATGCTCTTGGCCCAGCTGATGGTGACCACGATCTCTCGGTCAAAGAGGTCACAGAGGGTAGCCACAGCCGGGAGCTGTCCGTCGGGGCCCGCTGGGTCGGGCATGGCATACAGCTTCTCGGGCTCAACCACCAGCAGGTGGGACACCAGTGCGTTCACCGGGGCTACAGGCACAGTTGGAAGAAGCACTCGAACTCATCACCTTGCAGGCCCTTCGGAGTCAAGCATCTTCCCAGAGCCGGGCCCCCTGTGGCCTTCCTCAGTGGCCACTGGCCAGCCAACTCAGACCCCTCTCTCTGGGAAGGGCTCGCACTGTCTCCCGGGGAGAGCCGGTCTGTGTGTGCACGGGTTTTGAGCGTTAGAAAACCCTGCCCTGTTCCCAGTTGTACGACTTGGGGGCCTGACACAGAAAAAGGTATTTTCATAAATACTTCTTGGGATAAGTGACTACGTGAATAGATGCAGGAAAAATTTAGGTCCCAGTGCCCAAGATAATTATTCTCCTGGGTGAATGATGCCAGATAGGCCTCTGGGTCCTAGCCCCCCAACAACCCTGGAGCTCCAGGGACCCACGACGCTCTCACCTGTCTTCCGAGGGCCTCCAGCTACCGCCAGGGGTCCAGCAGGGAAGGGGCCTGGGAAGGGCAGTGGGTCCACCTCCGGCCGCCGCTTGTACTTCTGTCGCCCACCCCGGACACGGTCCAGACGTACCCCTTGAATTGTAAGAGAGGACTGTGTCCATGGGGCTGGGGGTGGCTTGCTCTGCAGAGACCCGCGCCCAGTCCATTCCACCAGGACTTCCCAGGCCTTGCCCCCCGGCCCCATGCGTCCAGCTCCCCTAGCCCTCGCCCAGGCCCTGCCCAGTGCTCACCCTCCTTGAGCATGCCCACCCGCAGGCACTTGGTGAAGCGACAGGCCTGGCAGGCCTTGCGTCTCCGCTTGGTGATCTCGCACTCGTTGGAGGCCGGACAGCTGTACTCGATGCTCCCTGCCAGGAAGAGGCAGGGCTCCAGTGGCGGCCTCCCAGGGCCCGGAGGGGGCCCAGCGGACAGGAGAGCCCTGACTCGCCCCGGGCAAGCACGGGTCTGGGGAGAGCAGGAGTGCTGTGAGTGGCACAGGGAAGCCCGGTGCAGTGAGGGGCATGGCCGCTGGGCTGGGGGCCTCTACCCGGGCAAGGGAGGCACTGGGACCGGGGGAGTGAGGCTGCGTCGCTGCCCCAAGCCTCTTGTCAAGCCGTGTCTCTGGGCTCTATTGCCCTCATCTGCTCTCAGCAAGGGCCACAGTGGCCTCTACATCCAATAGCCAATTCTCGTCCTCATCTGACTTGGCCTAAAGGAGCATCTAATGCCATTGATCACGTCCGACTCCTAGAAACACTTAAAACACTTTTCTTCCTAACTTCTAGGACCCACTCCTGATTTTCCTCCCCGCTCATTGGCCACTTTGTGGTTCTGCGCACCTCCCCACGCTCTTTCCACTGAAGAATCCTGCACTGCCCTCGGACCTTGTCTCCACTGACTCACTCTCGGGTGAGTTACCACTCACAGCCCAGGTGATGTGACCCAGCTGCAGGCTTTCAAATTTGTATCTCGAGCCTAGACCTGCCTGAGCTCTAGACTCATCCCACTGCCTGCTCGACATCTTGCAGCTCTAGAAGGCATCGCAAACTTAACATGTCCTGATGGAGCCCTTGATCTGCCCCTCCAGACCTGCAACTCCATTTATCCAGGTGCTCAAGCAGAAATCTAGGAGACATCTTGGATTCCTCTCACACCCAAAATCCAACCCATCAACAAGTCCTAGAGAGTCCAGAAGCCGACCCCTTCAGCCCCTGGCAACTGCTTCCACCCGTGACCCAAGTCACTGTCACCTCACCCCCGGCTCTGTCCTTGCCTCCTTCAGTTACTCTCAACACAGCAGCCAGAGGCATCCTATTAAACCTAAGTCAGACCCTGTCGCTCCTCTGCTCAAAACCCTCCAGTGATTTCCCCTCTCAGAGGAAAAGCCCAGGGGAACTCCGTGGCCTCTGAGGCCTACACCCCTGCTCTCACCCCCTCTCCGATCTCATCCCCTGTTGCACTCTGCTCCGGCTCCCCACTGGCCTCCTCACTGTGTCCCAAAACAGGGGACACTGCTCCCTTACCTCCTTCAAATCTCTGGCCCTTGTCACCTTCCCTGGCCACCCGCTGAGAATGCCAGATGCCCCTCCACAGACACCTCCGGGCCGCTTGCCCCTGCTTCATAGTTTCTCATCAGCTCTTAGCACCATCTAATGTGCTACTTATGTACTTATTTATCTTCTGTATTATCCGTCTCCCCACTTTAGTGTCAGCTCCACGAGGGCCAGCACTGTCCCCAGCACCACACAGGGCCTGGCACATAGTGGGCGCTCATAAAACTGGTTGAATGAGCGCATGGTGGCCCTCCCAGCCTCACAGGCTACACAAGGACTGAAGGACACAACCAGCCAACATGCCCTTAGCACGTTTCCCTCAATTTCTCCTACACCCTACCCGGGCTTCCGTGCTCAGCTCAAAATACCTCCTCAGGGAAGCCCTCCAGCGCCCCAGACCCAGCCAGGTTCCTTGTCACACACACCCTGCTCCTCGCCTTCCAGCACTTACCACAGCTGCACTATAACAATCTTGCGCAATCTCTCGTTTTCTTTCTCCCCCTCTGTTAGAATGTAAATTGCTTGAGGACAGGAGCGGTCCTGCCTTAGTCCCAACTACGTCCCCAGGCCTGGAACAGTGGCCAGGACAGCCAAGCACAAGTTAGGGAAGAGCAAGGCCCTGGAGGCTGCCTGGCGCCCATCCTGACCCTCTCACTTACCAACTGTGTCACCCTGGGCAAGTCCCCTACCTATGCCCTCGAACCCTCAGTTTTCCCATCTGTAAAACTGGGATGATAAAAACAGTAGTTCTTTTCTTACAAAGGCGGGTTGTGAGCATTTAAGGGGATAATCAAGGTAACACATTTAGTGTGGTTCACAGGACCTCAATAAATGCTCCCTATTTATGGCTAATGCTCAATAAATATTTGTCACCCGCCTCCACAGAGAACGAAGGGTTCTCCTGGCCCTGAACCATTGGTTCACTGGTCTTCAGAGCCAGAAGGGAACACAGAGAGTTTAGACCAGCAGGCCTCAGCCAAGTCAGAACTAGCTGGAATGTCACAATCGGTCGTGCGGCATCTGTCCAAAGTTCAGTTATTAATAATAAGGAAAGGCGTTTCAGACCTCAGCTCTGGACCTAAATTGACCCAAGTTCAAATCCTGGTTCTGTCATTTTCTACCTGTGAGATGTGGACAAAGTTTTAAAAACCTCTGTGGGCCTCCGTTACGAAACAGTGCCGGCACCTTATAGGTTGCGATGGGGGTAACTGAGGTTGTAAATGTAAGGGTCGGGCATTGTGTAAGGGCTCACAAAATGTTTTCAAAACTTATCCATGTTATAGCCCCAAAGTAACCAACAGGTTACATAGAAATATAAATAACAGGTACATCCCAGGTAATGTTTATTGCATCACCATCTTGCTCACATGATCTGCTTTCCTAAGTGAGAAAAATTCAGTGAGTACTGTTAGCAGGATGCCTAAGAGTCTTTTTAAAGTTAGGTGCTGAAATATGATGTGGCCCCTCTCAGTTACCCAGAAAAGCCTGCCTTGTGCTGGTGCAGCTTCGGGGAAATCAACAAAAAGGGGGGCATGTTCTATGCCAGTGAGAGGCCAGCAGCTGCCAGAAAAAGTCTAGGAGTGGGCAGAGGCTGCTTTGAATTTTTCAGAGCCACTGTAGAAGGTGCTGGAACTATAGTACCCAGAGACCTAGGAGGCATCTCTCACATCCCACATCCAATCCATCAACACATCCTGGTGGCTTTACTTATCTTTTAAGGGAAAAGGCCTTCCTGGGAGGTAGGAGAGCCTGGAGACACCGGGCTGCCAAGACCAAGTGGTACCACAGTAGCCTGGGGACCTGTGCCACCCAGCAGTGCACCAACTGGATGGCGCCAGGCCCAGAGGGCAAAGGGCACAGGAGTGGGGTGGGGGCTCACCCTGGATGGTCCTCTTGAAGAAGGCTTTGCAGGCCTCACAGGATGCCACACCATAGTGGTAGCCGGAGGCCACGTCCCCACAGACCAGGCAGAGGCGTTTCGGCAGGGAGCTGAGGACCAGCTTCCCACCCCCCTGCTCGCCAGGCCCAGCCCCCTCCCCATCCTCCTCCTCCTTATGGCCTGGGAGGCAGCGGGTGGGAGCTGGGCCAGGGGCCAGGGCTACAGGGGGCTCGGTCTCGGTCTCCGAGGAACCCTTTGGGCTGTCGGGGCTGGCTGGCTCTGCCTTGATGTAGAGAGGCTCAATGCCCACCACCTGGCTGGACATGGCGCTGGTCACCTGCAGGGAGAGACCTGTCACGTCACAGGGAGGCACTGGGATGGGGGATGGAGAGACACCCTGCCACCCTGGTTGCCCAACCCTGGGCCTGGGGCCAGGCCTCCAGGCTTAGTGAGGGGGAGGGAAGGGGGACAGAGTCCAAGGAAGGGCTGCCCATGAAAAGGGCCCTCCCCAGCTGTTGCCATGGGAACAGAGTCTCTAGAGCCTCCAGGGCCAGTAACTGACAGCAAGTCTCCCACTTGGGAACCTGGGGGAGGCCTGGAAAACCCTTACTCCCACCAGAGCAGGGGAGCATGGTAACCTTAGCCCCCCAGGCGACCTTCAACCCCATCTGGAATCCCCAGCCAGATGCAAGATACCTCTCCATTCTCTCCAGATGGTGGGGAAGTCCGAGATCTCCCCCTCACCCGAGTATTGTCCATTCAAGAGCACAAACAAATTGAGGCATACAAGCAGAAGGGCGCTCACGTCTGTGTGTTCACACCCTCACACACCCCTACTTGCCTGGGTTCTGAGGTGTCCCCGCATGCACACACATGCTCACTCTCTCCTAGACACTCGACTCTCACGCATGGCCTTTCCCGAACCCCACTTCTCACTCATGCTCCCGTTTGTCTTTGCACACTCCTCCCAAAGTGCACAGCCCAAGTCACACTCAAGGCTCATAATCACACACACTCTTACAAACACTCTTACACTCTCGCCATGCCCCCACACTCACACTCGGGCATAGACCCCTGTGGAAACACATTCAGAGGCTTTCACACCTGACACACTGCCCCCTCCTGCCCCAGCACGCCCAAGCCCAGGCACAACTGGCGGGCGCGGCGCCACCTCCTTGCACCCCCCACATTCACTCTTACACTCCTGCTGCCGCAGAATCCTCCACCTCCGGGGCGCCCCGCCCCCCCCAACCTGCGCACACCTACGGGAAGTTGTCTAAAGTTGCTGCGCCTCCCCTCCCCCTCCGCCCGCGGGGGACCTCTATCAGGTTATCAGGAAGTAAATGGGGAGCTCCAAGGAGGAGGAAGTTCTCCCCTGCCGGTGCGATGACCTTTGACCCAGAGACGAGGGTGGCCCAAGGCCCCTTGGAGCGCCCCCACGTGGTCTTCAAAGCCCCTTCCCCGACACAGGACCCTCCCCATCTTCCGCCCAGGCCCGCCCCTGGGACTTCGGCATGCTCCAGGTGCCGGATTGAACCCTGCCCTGGGACTGGATCCGAGGCCCCAGCCTGACCCTGGCCAGGACCTGCAGTCCGAGCCAGAGCCGGCCCCTGCCCCAGGCTGGCGCACTACGACCTGGACGCCGGATCCCGCTCGGACCCTGAGCCCCTCTGGCTCTCGACCGGGGCCCGCCCGTGACCCGGGCCGGTCCCGGAGCCGGACCCCGCCTGGAGCCCGCCCCCGCCCGCCTCC